GGGAGGGATTTTTTTTGTTCACATGAAGGATTTTAGTTTTTGCTTTAGGGGTGACTGAATTCAAAATCTCGCTACAGGTACCTTTTGAAGGCATTTTCAAATGAAGTATAGTCCGGGAACGTTGTCCCAACCACAACTGAAGTATCTGAATATTTAGACATTTTAAAATCTCTAGCTCTAGAAATTGAATAGGATGCACAAAATGCTTCTTCCCCGTTCTAGCAGAATGGCAGAATGAGAGATGACGCCTTATAAATTTGGCAAATAACCCTAAATCTCGAGAACGGAAACGTTCGGAGAAAGAGACATCAACTTCAAGTTTATTTTCCCGAGCGTTTGGAGAAATAGTCACTTCAAATTATTAATTTGTAAATCAATTCTTTGTCCTGTGTCGGTGGGTGGACCCAAATTTGGGTGGGGCTTAGGTTGCTTCCACTTCCACTTCTTTACCACCAAATAGCAAGCAATAGAACAAAACAGTGATAATTTTTCTATACTCATGGCGAACCACGGCATTTTGAGAAGCTTTAAAACGAGGCGAGTCACCTTTGCCTTCCATCTCTTCCAATTCTTCTGGATGGTGGGGACGAAGCCGTTTCACCTCCAAATTTATCTAATTCACACATACAAACATGCACACAAAGCGCTCCAAACATGTACCGTCTATTAGCTGGATGAGGCTGTGTAGTCGTGGAAAGTAGAGCTCACAACAAAGGTCCAATGAACGCATAGGTAACTGTTTCACTGGGGAAAAATGTGTCATAAACTTTCACCCCTTTGTCAGGGGGGTGAGAATAAGAGAAAATCTTATTCCCACCAGCCTTTCTAAAATTGTATTTTAACATAACTAATATGATCTTGCCAATCACACCTTTCATCAATCAATAATACTTAAAAACTTAGCTGATCTGAATAGATCTAGATAGATTTCAATATTGTCAATAGGCCTACATAATATTAATGAACGGTGTAGCTGATCAGGTAGGCACCACGACTTGCACATCTCTCTCTCTCTCTCTCTCTCTCTCTCTCTCTCTCTCTCTCTCTCTCTCTCTCTCTCTCTCTCTTTTCTCTCTCAGTCTGAGGCGCTATAATATATTCCCTCTTTCTCTCCCTCCCCCCCCCCCCTCCCTCTTCTCTCTCTCTCTCTCTCTCTCTCTCTCTCTCTCTCTCTCTCTCTCTCTCTCTCTCTCTCTCTTTCTCTCTCTCTCATATTATGTGCTTTTTTAAAGAATGAAGTTTACAGGGCTAGATATATTAGTAATTGGAGGCAGATCAAAATGATCTTACTTTTACTTTTTTATGTTCAGGCCTCTAGTACCTTGTGGTGTTGAGGGTCATTGCCTTTTGCATTGTTAATGTTGTTATATTGTTTTTGACAAGCCTATAATGCACCTACAACTATTATTACCCAGCAGCAGACCATAGTACACTTACTGACATTCTTAGCTTCATGGGATGCATACAGCACAAGCAGCTGATCAAGCACTCAGACACTAGCAAACTGAAAAGATTTTCGGCATCTATACACCCGGTACAACCCATTGTCACTTGAGTAAAGTGAGGGAAATTCGTGCATTGAAGTGATTTTACCAAGGACATATTGTTGGGCCCCTGACAGGGTTTGAACCTATTACCTTTCAGTTAAAAGCCTGACAGCCAAACCTTTAGACCACCATGTTGCAATGCCATCGATCATTCAGGAAATGGGCTGCTTTGACATATTATGCTGAAGTCCCATGACTTTTTTTTTCTTTCGTTTCCGTCTCCACTCTCTCATTCCTTGCCACAAAAACATATGGTAGAGTCTGCTTTTTAACCCAACACCATTAGTCTGAAAACAGCAGTAAATAAACTGAAATAAAATATATAATGCCCAATTTTTTTTCTTATTTAAAAAAAACTAACCTCTCTAAAACAATAGCTTGGCTACACTAAAGGCCATCTGGCGGTCCCACACCATAGTTCAGAAATGTAGATCTAACCTTACTCTTCGAACGAGATCGATATATCTTTTAACAAATAATTCTTTAAACTGTAGAATTTTTATTTATGAGCCTGGCTGAACATTTATTTAGGTTACACTTACGACATACAGTGGCGGCACGCCATTGGTTCAATTGGTGCAAACGCTCCACCTAACCCTGGCCTTCACCCCCCCACCCCTCCCAATTTCTAATTGTTCTAAACCAGTCAGCGCTCTAGATCTACATATCCTTGTGATCCGTCACCCACTGGCTGCACCTGTGAAAAGACAGACAGTGAGTTGAGCGAGGATGGGTTATGCTTGTGGCACCGCTTGCGGTAGTGTCTGCTGGGATCAAACTGAATCTTTGCTCCAAAGTTATTTTTATCACTGTAGAAAAAATCTAGGCATCGTTCTTCCCGCTCAAGAAGGAAGGTGCATGAAACTCCTCTTCGCAGGCAAAAAATTTGATCCAAGTTTCCGCTAGCCTATCTACTACACTAGAGTCTACGGTGACTCAATGAAGAATGGGTATCGAAACTGTTTTCTCCCTCTATTGTGTAGCAAGTCTTGTTAAGGTAAATTTTCAAATTGAGTCTGGTATTTGGTGCTGCACCAAGTAATAAGAAATTATCTTTTAATCTTCTCAGATTGTGAGCATAGTGAGTTGTTAGTATTGTTTCACTTTATTGCAGCTTTTATGAGGTTTCATCTAGAAAGAGATGTAAATATCGATAGATGTAGATTACGGGATATCCTGGAGATTCTACCTGACTTTCTCTAGAAATCTAGATGAATCACATTGACGCTTTGCTTCTTGCGCCATTCAGCTGGCTACAGTTAGAAGAGAAAGTGCGCATAAGTCCACTTCAGCCGCGGGATCTTGAGCTCAAAAACAATGTTCGCTCTTTTTCCTGTATGTGGTATGATAAGTATGAATGGCTTATGGTGAGCTTGTCCAAAAAGAAATTGTACTGTTTCCATTGTCTGCTTTTTACTGATAGGTCAGACACTGACAATGTTTGGTCGTCAATCACACTCACTCTCTCTTTGTCTTTCTCTCTCTCTCTCTCTCTCTCTCTCTCTCTCTCTCTCTCTCTCTCTCTCTCTCTCTCTCTCTCTCTCTCTCTCTCTCTCTCTCTCTCTCTCTCTCTCTCTCTCTCTTTCTCTCTCTCTTTCACACTCACACACACACACACACACACACACACATGCAAACACACGCACACAGACTTGCAGAAAGCAATAGAAAGAACAGACCACACCAGAGCGCCCGCCAACTGTTCATTACAATTTTAATAGTAGCTAGTATAAGGCCTATAGATTGCCCTTTTGCTCACTTTCCAATTATGCGCCACCTTGTCTGCAACCCATGCAACGCCACTGACGACATACCTTGTGTGATATTTCCATTGGTGTTTACAAGTCTCTCACCTTTCTCTCAGAAAATGCAGAGTATGAAATTTGCCCAAATAACTTCCTGTGTCCTTCAGTTCTGGCTGTAATTAAGAAATTAGTAACCTATAACATGATATTTCATGCACAGAATTGAGAGGATGAAAGTAATCTGTTATAAACAGAATTTACATTTTTTATTAACTTACTTTACATTTTCTGCCCTCTTATACCACGAGTTGTCAAGGGGAGATGCAATTGTTGGACGTGGGATCAGGTCTGTTGTTTGTATCGTTATTTTGTTCCTTTGGAGGGACTCTTTGACTCTGTCGATGAATCTTTTTCTTTTCCATCCTTATTTTGCCATAAAGCCATTGAATTGCTTCTTGTAGGCCTTAAACAAGTTTATAAGAGGCTGGCTGTTGTGGCCCCCATTCTCTTAACTTGTCCAAACCGCCTTATTTGTTGTCTCTCAATGTATTTCATGCTTGATTTGATGCCCACTTGATGTTGGTGTCTGATGGTTTTGTTTCTTTGTTTGTCTCTTCTTGTGATGTTTAATGTTTTTCTAATGTAAGTTTCTCGGCAGCATAATATGAAGCCTGGAAGTCATTAACTTACCCTACCAATCCAAAAAATCACACTTTGCTGGGAAGCTCTCTAACGTCTAAGCTGGATGGGATTGCAGCCTTTTATAGTGTATTTTATGAGATATTGGGCTCAGGATACTGACATGAAGTCCGGTACAAGTGTTACCCAGCCACACAAAAAGGATCAAGCCATGTTCGGCCCTGAGGACTTCACACTCATACCCTTGAATGTTTGTACTCAGCAGGCCCGACACAAGAATCCAAGCTCTGCTCTCTTCAACATTCCAAGGAAAATTGTTATCATCGTTTGTCCAAGTGCTCCTACTTCAGAGACCTAAGATCTTCTCACTACCTCCTACAATCCCTGACTGTACCAAAAGTCTATTTTATATTTTTAAATATATTATATATATGTCAACTTGTTGGTGTTTTTCCAGATGGTTAACTAACTATAAGATACATAGAGCTTCTGATGCCTAACCATGTCACAAAGTTTATTTCTATTAGGTCTACAAGATTAGAATGACACTCTCTAGGCTGTAGGCCTACTCTATTTTGTATTCTTTAACTAATGAAACTATATCTAGATCTATGCAGGGACTGTTCTGTGATTCTTTCTTTGTAAATGAAGAAAGAAAAAATGGATTTATTTAGTTTTAGTGTTCAGCAATTTGCCTCGTATTTTTACCAAATGTCTTACATGTCTCAACTCCTTTTCATGTGCTGGTGCTCAAAGAAGGCGACTTGGGTCATATTCTGCATGACTTATCCTGACTTAAAGTAATTTCCTTTGACTGTTTGCTCTTGTCAAATTCATTTTATTATTTATGTTGTGAAAAGTTCTTGTTTTATAAGATCGTTGCATGCTATCAAAGCATTTACCAAACTAGAGTTTTTGTTAATTTTCATCTTCATAATCATCTCATTAGCAAAATGTATCAAACGTGTTTGGTTAGATTTTTATCGACATGTTCTTTAGATTAGGTCTTTGCAGGTTAAGGAAAGAGAACAAACCCAATGTTATAAAAATGGGGACATGTTTTATGAGTCTCATTTGAGACTTTCTGACTCACTATGCACTTTACACCAATGTTATAATATAATATGTTTTTTTCATAAACTGCATTTTTATTCCACTTCAGGTTTTTTAAATTAGCCTGCTGACCTAGAATATCTGGCAATACTTGAACCACTCCCCCCCCCCCCCCCCCCGAGCTCAATGTACAATGTATTAGATAAACCTAATTACCTGCACAAAAGGGGAATGAGATAACAACTGGCCTACTGCCATGTGCAGGTCTTAATAATAATTTAGAAAAGAAGGGCACACAACAAGACAATAATTGGATAAAGCATGGGAAGCTTTGAATTCTGTGAGGATTGGGTATGATGTCATGAAGAATGTATGTTTTTTAAGGTGCACACAACTGATTGTGCAAAGAAAAAAAAAATTACCTGTTTTCCATCAAGGGCAACATATCTGATTAAGGTAGAATCTAAATCATTTTCTTTTTCACATAAACTGTTTTCCAGGTTATCAAGTGCCTTGTATTGAGGGGTACTGCCAAGAAAATACACATGGATGGTATGAGAATAGAAAAAATGAGGGTAAGTGAAGCTAATTATCGAGTACATATATCCATTGTAGACATCAGTCATCAGCTCAGAACTGTTTTAGTTGTGTCACTTTTGTCTATTGTTGCAGAGAAATTTGTGTAAAATTTCCTTACTTGACTTTAACTTTAAGCAGTCAATGACAATTTGATATAACTGATGAAAGTGTTAAAATCATAGGCCTATATATTCGCTGTACATCCTAAACTCCGCAGTGGTGTTTCACTAAAAATCTGTGGAATTTAATTTAAGTGCCATCAATATTTCAATAAAGGATAATTTTTAAAATTAATTATAATTTTTCCACTTGGTAAGTGACAGTTCATAACTGAAAACGATCACATTCTCATTCTCTGTGAACCAGAAGGGGGTAATGTTTGATATGGGTCTTTTAAGGATGTGTACTGTTGATGTTAATATTACATGTCTATGGGAATTTTGTAATTAAATGAGTTAGAAGGAACATATTATTTAATTATCTTGTGCCTTTCACATCGTAATAGGGCAAAAGTAGAGACAGTGAAAGGAAGAATAATAAAGTTTATGAACAGTAAGCCTTATTTCATCAATTTTGAAGATAGTTGAAATTGTTGAGCTTTTATGTGTAGAAATTATTGATACCTTACTTTGCTTAAAAATCAGTCAAGCTGTAGGGATAGTAAATTAATATTGATTTGATGTGTTTGAAAAAGATAATATGATCAATTGGGCATCAAAAGTTAGTCTTGTCTCACTATTCCCTTTCAGCGTTCTGCACCCCAACCTATATATATAAGGTACATTGAGTTACGAGTATTTAACCTCTTCACTGCCACGCCCGTAGAATTTACGGGCATGAACCGTGTAGCGCTGTACCTATGGCCCGTAGAATTTACCGTGGGATTGTGACAGAGGTTTTTTTGCCAATTAAAAGGGAAGTTACTGTTAAAATCTTGTAATTATTATTGGGGTACAGTACCTTCCCTTTATGTTTACCACCATTTCCCTCCCCCCCCCCCCATTTGAAAGTGTCAGATTCAGATTTTAGCTCAAAGACAAGAGAGGATCAGATCTCTAGGTCTAGATCTAGATCTTACACACCACAAAAATGATTTATTGGCAGTAAACACAGATGGACGTACATAGATTTCTATGTATATATGGATTGTGTGAGCATGTATAAGCTAGGAAAAGTCTCTTTACCTTCTGACATTCACACAACATGTATTCCCCCTTTTTTTGGTCTCAGTTTATCATTACTCGAATGTGTGTTGTTTTATATTGTTTGGTGGTGTTGTTTTTGGCATCATGTTTACAAACTCCAATTTTTCTCCGTCTATCTCTTAATGAAAACCCTCTAAAATTATATAAATAGAAATATGGTTCAATGTAGAATATACATGCAGAAATTCATGAGGAAATATTCATAAAAATAAAAAAGTTATGGGAGGTGAAGTGGGGTCATCCCTGAGCTGCTTTGGTTCTTGTTGAAGGGGTAAAGTTGAATTTTGAAGCCAGGGTAGAATCATAGTATTCATTTTTTGTTTAGAATGAATTTATTTTGCTCAAAACTTAGTAGGAGTAAAACACCAGCAATTATCAGTGGTGAAATAAGGCTCATGAACAGTTACACTTGTAACATACCATGTGCAATGTTTCCATTGGCGTAAATCTCCTGCCTCTCTCTCTCTCAGACATTGCATGGCATTTGCTTTGATTGCCAAGATACTCTGCAGGATCTGTTATTTGGATTGAAAAAAGCTGACAGCTGTTTCTGCATACAGAAAAGTGCCATGAAGGCATTTAAGGGAGTTAGCTGTCCAAACCTATTGTGTATGATAATGACAAAAAGAAATAGAAAAAGGCTGTATCATCTAGGTTACCATAGTTCTCCTCACTTTCATTGAGCTTTTGGCCACCAGTAAACAGAAAACTGGCTCCCTTCAACTCATATCAATCTATACTTTCCATGTTCTATACATTGTTTCAAATGTAAAAAAACAACAACATTCAAACATGTGCAGAAGAAATTCTCTCAGTTTAATATACCTGGAAGTGTCATCTCTCTGACTCAGAGGTTGACAGGTAATGACCTCCATCCTTTACGGTCCTGAGCTGCTCTTGCACATACTGCTATATATATCCAGGCCAGTTCATGTTTGATATGTCAATGCTCTAAGAGGGACTGCGGAGAAATAGATTGCTCCGTATGTATTTGATACAGCGACAGTCTTGGGGAAGGAAAACAGCTTTTTTCTGAAGATTGTCTGGCGGGGATCAAAGTAAGACCCATACAGTATGTGTAAAAACATTAATGTTCTTGGTTCTATCCTGAACTCCACAAAGTTAAGCAAATCAGTCATCTTAATTTCAGGAATATCATTATGTCCTAAAAGTGCTGGTCTAAACCTAGATACATGTTTGACAGCACCGCTGCAATCCTGTGGGTGTTGGTCATTCTCACATAGCCTATGACGATTTATTTGTTGAAAGGGGAGCACCCTCTTCAGCTTGAGTTGTGTTTATTTTATACCAGTGTTTAAGGTTTTCCTTCTGTTAGGAGATGTGTTCTTCTGACATGCAGAAGAAAGAACATTCCAGGACATTTTTCAGCCAAATTTTTACGAATAACATTAATCCTGAAATGTGTGGGCGAAGTGAATATATAGCTTCCATAGTGTTTTTGTGACATAATAAATGGTACCGAAGATAAGCTCGAGAGAATTTAAGATCATTGCCGTGTTTTGAATATAATCACATTCTAAACGAATATGAGTAGTAGTTGGATGTAGCTGACCTCTTTCACTTCCAGAGGATTTTCCTCGTCCTGACTGGGCCTTATCTGTGACCTACTTTCTGATTCTGCCTACCCTCAGACAAATTAAAGATTTTGAGTTCAATTTTCAATATTAGCCACATGCATTATGCATGTATAAAGGGGAAATAATAGCCTATCTCAACATAATGCTAAATATATGGTTATTTTTCAGCCTGAGATTTCACTTTCGATTATTACAAAACAAATGACTGGTTTTGAGGCGGTTCTGGATTGGTAGTAACAGGAGCCATGAAACATGGCTAACGGTTTGAAAGAGTTAAAAGAAGGTTTGAACTGGCTGCTGTTAAAAGAATTTTAAGCTATAGTTTTGTCTTAAGACCCAGAGACCTTTATTTTTTATTTGGAGAACAATTGTCCATTTTAAGATTTGACTTAGTATTATTCTGGAGTATCTCAAGTCTTATATTCAGTCACATGTTTTTGTGATGTTTCTTCTAGGAATGGGGTTTTGCAGTAAATGGGTGTGGTGTTGAAATGTGAAGAAAAGATGGAATGTGAAGAGATAATTTTACCAAAACGATATACTGATTATACTGAAATCTCTGGTCTGGCCAGAACTGTGATAAGTGGCCTGTGCATAACATGTTTCAACTCTCATTGATAGAAATGACCTTGTCACAGCTTTCTACAATAGGATTTTGGATCAAAGGAACTGTAGGCCAATGTAAGCTGTGCATGCAAAAGATATCTTGATAATTTTATTAGAGTCATCAGAAGCAGGACTCTTCTCCTCCAACAGTAAAACTTGGAGAACAAAAAAATTCTGCGTACCCTGACACTTTCTATTCTTTGATGACCAGTGCTGCAGAGTAACTTCTTTTTCTTTACAAGAAAGGTTTTTAATTAATACGCTTTGTTTACAGTGAAATATTAGTTTTATTGGGCGACTGCCCAATCCTCAGAGGCTGACTACTTAGAAACTGTGTTGAGTTAATAATTTTGAAGTTTTCAGTACAGTTTCAATGTGTTTTTAGGTGATGGGAAAGGCAAGTGGTGTTGCAAGTATGAAGAGGAGGAAAATGGCTACTCTATAGGTAGTACATTTTGCGAAGAAGGCTGCTGTGGTGATGAGGAAGAGCGTTGCTGTTCCTCCCTGTCTCAGTAAGTAAAGATGCAGTCTCTCCCTACTTCTGAAAATAATGCTTTGGTGGTATCTTTCAGAGATCAACTATTTTGCCTTAAACAGTAACAGAGAATTATATGTCCCTTTGAAAAACCGCTTTCTTGAGATTTTTAAAGTAAAGATGATATCTCTCGAATTTTGTATTTCGTCTCCTAAATTCCTAGTTACTTCAAATATATTGACTGGCAAAAGAACTACAGTATGCACGAATGAGGCAAATAAAAAAGCAACAATTATTCTTCAAGTTCAAAATAATTTTCTATTTGTATAAAGTTACCAGTGAGATGTGGCATCACTTGAGGAATACTACTCAGCAATTTTGATGTTACTGTGTTCACTGCGTGACTTTGACCTTGTTTCCTAAAGGCAGTATGTTGTAATGCCATTTCAGGCCTCACTTACTGCTGCATATCTGCAATATATAGAGTCTGTCATTGAGTTGATTTCCCTGCTTTTTGGGTTTGTAACCTTGGGTGCATACGGTTAGGCATCCAACAGGTGTTCAACAGGGTTTAATTTTAGTCCAGTGTGCGAGCTGGATGGGGCAGCAAGTTAATGTTATTCTGCCTCAGGAAGTCTTGTGTGGCACAAGCAATATGGGGTCTTTTGAAATCCTGCTGGAAGAGGAAGTTCTGATGGAAAAAAGGCACCACTTGAGGCATCAAGACCTACATGATGTACCATTGAGCAGTGACACAATTTTTGTGTCCATGGCTGACAGAATGGAAGATTACAGCCCTGACAAATTGACTTACGGTAAAGGCTGCACTAAATCATTACACTTTTATCTTCTCAAGGTTCCAAGATGGTGTCCTCAGTCCTCAAAAAAGTATTGTCCATCTCTGCGCCATATAAAATGCGACCATTTACAGGATCCACAAAGAATCTGCTCTCTTCAATGAAGAGTTCTCTTATCCATTGTTGATTTTGCCATTTTATGTGAGCTTACAACCACTGCAGTCAATGCTGACATGACATAAGGTTAGAAAAGTTCCCTGACTTGGACACCTTCAATGAAGACCAGCAGCTGTCAATCTCTGTCTCCCTGTCCTGTGACTCAGTCATTTCCTAGTTGCTACAACTGTGTTTCTGGAAATATCTGAGGCTGGTACCCATGGATCCTGGCAGTACTGACACACTATGAACCGGTCCTGGGCCACAGTTATCGCTGTTCGTCTGTGTATTAAGATTTGATCTGCAGTGGTGATAGTGGCAAGGAAATTATTCCACAAGTGATTGATGGTAGGCCTACTAATGTGAATGTCTACGTCTATTGACATTTCGTTAGCAGATTCACTGGCTTGAAGTAGTCCGTTTGCTTTTTTTGCTATTTTCTGTCTGAAATTTTGGTCTCCTGATGTTCCAATTGTATTGTATCCAACCGATTTAAACACTCTGCACACAGAATTTATAGGTATAGGCTACACAGCTGGCTGAGTGCCAATGCATGGCCCAAATTATGCAACATTTGAGTCCCAGAGAGTATTCGTCAAATATTTCTTGTTTGCTGCCTAAATGGCCAATGAACTCATTTCATTATTTATATCCGGTCGATCAAACAATCTCAGACATATATTTAGCAGGTGTAAATGTACACTACTCGCCAGTGGTGTAATTTATTTACAATATTGGTACTGTGAAATTTTTACATTTCTTTTGTCAGTCAGTATACCTTGCAACAACTTGATTTCTATTTTGAAATTTATGCTTTGTGTATTTGAATGGGCTTGTGTCACTACATTCGCCAGTTGTTTTTACCATATTACATATATCTATTGCACAATTATGTAATTGGAATTGGATGTTTGTAGAATTGATTATCTTATATAGGTAGCTGAAGAGTTTTCAATTGCCCTATCTCGCGGCCGCGCAAGACTTGGGCGCTTCCTTGTGCTGGCACGAGGTGGCCTATGATAAGAGCCTGAACAAATGTCCCAGCGCTCTTGAGTTGAATGTGTGCAATTTTGTCTGCGGACAGGGGGAGAGAGAGAGAGAGAGAGAGAGAGAGAGAGAGAGAGAGAGAAAGAGAGGGGGGGGTGGGGGAGGGGAAAAGGGGGAGAGAGAGAGAGAGAGAGAGAGAGAGAGAGAGAGAGAGAGAGAGAGAGAGAGAGAGAGAGAGAGAGAGAGAGAGAGAGAGAGAGAGAGAGAGAGAGAGAGAGAGAGAAATAGAAGAGGGGGGAGAAAGAGAGAGAAATAGAAGAGGGGGGAGAAAGAGAGAAGGAGGGAGAGAGAGAAGGGGGGCGGGCAGACAGAGGGAGAACAAGAAAGAGAGAGAGAGAGAGAGAGAGAGAGAGAGAGAGAGAGAGAGAGAGAGAGAGAGAGAGAGAGATGTTTAAAAAAAATTATATAATAAGAATTATTATTTCCTGTCTTTTTCTATCTGCCTCCGTTTTCTGGCTGACCTGGTGTTATACAGTCATTATTGTACACATATGACCATTGTCCCATCTTCCAAATCCCACCTTCTGTTTCCCATCTCTCACCTCTAGTTTCCCATATACTGCTTCCAATTTTCCCTATCCCATATTGCAACTTTAATTCTGTAAGCGGGCTTCGTTTTCTTTCTTCTCATAGGGTGGAACGCCTGAAGCAGGCCAAAATATTCTAATTTTTATACCTCACTGTCGCTAGTATCCAATGCAGATTTGCGGTTTTAGCACAAGCTTTCAATAGCTTGATTTAAAACTGTTTTATTCGGAATCAAGGTTTGGTCTCCATGAGATTTTTTTTAATGTATAAAAATGAATCCTCTTCGGAAGCGAGTTTATTTTTACTTTCCTTAACTTACAATTCACCCAGCACGACTACAGGGATCCATAATATTATTATGATGTCAATTTGGTCAGAGAATAGCTGTCAGAATAGCTGTCAGAATTAAACTTTCATGTAAGAAATGTAATAATCTGACAAGACTACTATGGAAAACGCTCCCTCACGAGAGAAATAATGTCACTCTCTTTACACAGCACCAGTCGTCGTATTTCAGGACCCAGGTGATGGGGAAACAACTAGTTGTTGTTTTATATCATTAAGAAGAGAAAATGACAGTTTGAATCTGCAAGACATTGTTATAAAATATTGCAACATCAAGTCATAAAGAAATTGTAAAGCAAGACTGCATCGTGTCGCCACAATACATTCACTTCTTTAGTTGGACATACCACATAATGTCATTATTTGTCTGGAAATTCTGTAATTAATATGATGTCGACCAGGGACTATGAGCTAGACAAACTACGAAACTATAACCATCGTTGCGATATATGAAATGACTGGACAACAAACAACATGAGTTCGATCGGTGAACATCTTGCTGTGTTTTTGTTTGTTGATTTTCAGTTTTCTTTTCTTCCTTCTAATCCACCTACTCAACCCCAACCCTTTTTCATTTTTCTTTCTTTGTGTTCTTTTTGTTTTCATTTTTGTGTTAATTTTTGTTATCTTTAATTAAACAATCTCAGCAATTCTCGTTCCATAGACTTAGCCTGTACCATTCTGTGCCTCCTCTTTTCCTCCCCCCAAAAAGCTGTATAAACACACACACACACACACACACACACACACACACACACACACACACACACACACACACACACACACACACTGACACACGCACATGCCCGCATACACACCCCAAGCAGTCGGCGATGAAACCAACCTAGTGTCGCCTAGTGACGTAGCCCATCACGTGCTACGCTGCAATACGAGCCCGCCACGGCCGTGGACAAAAGCCCAAAGAGGAAGTGCAATATCTTGGTATACACCACAGAATTCTACACTAAGTGTAGAATTCTGTGGTATACACAGTCTTTGGTTCGACTGTATACATTATATATAGACTATGCCTCACAGTGTGGTGGAATTGGTCGCTCATGGATTTTTGGGCATGTGGATTATTGATATCATCTTAAAGCCTGTTCATTGTTCTTTCTTTCAATAAAAAAAATAAAGCCCATCCATCTTGAATAGAAGTCGAGATATTCACGATTGAAGGGAGTTGGGGTTACGCGGTTTCAGAAATAAAATTAGAAAGAAAATGGCTTCTAAAATTTGGTGAATTTGATAGCTTGAGGGTAGTCGGGAACTGAAAATTTGCGTTTTTGTGCATCTAATCACGTTTCAGTAAAATCCACACAGGTGTGATTTTAAATGGCCATAAAAGGTGTTGAGCCAAAAAACAAAAACTTGATAGAAATTGCCCAAATGGCAGAAAAATGCCGGTGTCTTCAATTTCACTATTTTGACAAACTCCTGATTTCACCATGCTGCCTCATCATATATGTTTTGTATTTGTTGTTCCCGTGGACTCTGGCTCAGCAATACTGAGATACTAGTTTAAAGCTCAAAACTCCATCGAGAAATCATGACCATGTTGGGTTTTTTTTTAATCATTAGAAAAGTCTAAATGTTTTTCATACAGGCCTATGTCAATTGAAAGGGTATTCTTAAAAGTAATTAGTTGTAGCCCTGTCTGAAGATAGGCTAGATGACAGGAAGTTGAAAGTAAAGTACCCAGTGTATTGAGTGGACGTGGCAGGCGCCTATGAGTGGTTTCTGAGTTGTAGTCATGACACACATCAGCAACTCAGAGGGGTAAACGGTTGGTATGGGTATTGGATATGAAGATTGATCTATATGTTGAAGGTTGGTTGGTGGATGATTTGGTGTTGCTTGCCACTTCCAATTCTTTTTTCATGTCTTTGTCTGTTTTCTTCCTTTCAAAAGTGACAGTTATTGTGTCCACAGGTAGTCTATTGATTGTAATGTATGCAGAGTTTTGTGTCCCTCACTTTATGACAATGCCTAGCTTGGAAGACTGAATGTGTTTGATGTCTCATTTACTGTTTTCTTTTAATTTCAGAGGTGAAATTCAGGCCATTGCTGCAGGTGCAGGAGTAACTGTTGCAGTCTTTTTGTTGGTTACCATCGCCATTATTCTCTACTGCTTTATTCGGAGGAGCGGATTTTGTAAGATATCATTTTATACTCTGAAATATTATCTCTTCTTTGCTGCTAATAAGGAAGTGTAAATGAATGAATGCTGGGGATATAGTGATACATTTCCAGTCTTTTGAAAAATGATTTGCTACGTAGAAAACATTGTAATTGAAAATATGAAAATAGAGTTGAACCTGCTTTAACAAAAACCTGTTCAAGACAGAAGTCTCCTCGCTTCCCCCTTGATAGATTTTTCCATAATTACTTCTATAAAACAGAAACCTGCTCAATCCAGAAATGGAAAGAGAAATTCCTTTCCTTTAGATGGTGTTGACCTCTTCTAGATGTAAAGTAGTTTGCCCACTCAGCCCTGATTTGAGACAAAACTCCCTAGTTTGGTTCCATCCCCGCTAACTTTTATGCCACGCCATGTGACCCCTAAGTGGTACCAATGGTTATGGTTGTTTGGATGTGAAGTCTCATCACTGTTTGTCAAAGTGCTTGAGTGGCACTCCAGCATGGAAGCTTTCCTGAGTAGCCAGAGGTGTGAAATTAACTTGAACACTGCCTGCTGCCCTGATCATACGGCCAGCAGAGAAAAAAGTTCCTCGAATCGTTACACGCAGGGAAGGGATGGCATTGGTTGATTATGCTTATTACATTAATGGATGGGGCTAAGGGTGTAAAGAAAGGAGACGATCAATCATTTTTGTTCTTATAGGTCAAACAGTGATCCTGTGAGATGCACTCACTGGCAGCAATGGATAAGTTAAGACTCAGGCATACCATTATCAGAGAGGTTAGGATTGCTCTTGAGAGGTGTTAAGTTTCGAACCCTACTTGTTGACGGACAGGAAACCCTTGTTGCCACTGCATACTGGCTGGCCCCATGGAATCCCCTCCCCCCCCCTTCCCGTAAATTCCCCTGTCCAAGGTGAAAAATTTCCAAGACAGAATTTATTTTCTGGTTCCCCTTCGTTTTCATCTTGGACAGGTTGAACTACACTGCAAACTTCCTTCACCTACAACTTTCGTGAGTCCTTCCAGCAATTCTGCAGTTGTTGAATTTTTTGTCAAAGCGAGGTCTGACAAACGTGACCTAAAATTGACAGTGTATTCTGGTGCCATTTTAATTGCATCAGGTTACCATATTATTTTTGCTACAATTATCATTGGGGGGGGGGGGGGGGGGGGGAGGTGTCCCTTTTGGAATTTTTGGATCAGTTTTTAAATGGACAGAGGTTTTGCTCCCCAAACAAATTTCTAAAAATTAAAATTGCTCTACGGGTGGAAAAATGTTTTCTTCAAATTTCCTTATTTTGGTGAGCGCCTGATTTACTACGATGCCTCACATATCATAAAATCTTTATCAGTTTTTCTTTTATGTCATATTTCTAGGTTTTTAGGGGTAACATCACCACACACATGATCACAATTACACAAACGCATACATATACACACCCAACCTGTCTCCACCCCAGCACATGCTCAGGTTTTAAATTGAATCTGAAATGCATATGTCAGTGTCTTTCAAAGGTCACTGACTGGTTACTCAAAATGACTGGGTGTTGGGGACAGGCTTTCCCAAATTCTGATGCGCAGTACGCATGTAATGTAAGAGAAAAAGAAAGAAGGATGTCACTTCTTCCCTCGAGTAGCTGATGATAAGCTGTTTCCTTGGGTCGGAGGTTACTGGTTAAAGGATTCATCCATGTATTATTTATACTATGGATAATATTGATTGTTATGAATTTCTAAAATGAGTATTTTTTCTCCTTTTGCTGAATGTGAAATTCTGTTGAATTCAATGCTGTTGAAGACGTTGTTCACACTGTAGTATAATTTTCTGTTGTCGGTTCTATGGTATAGACTCATGTGCTCCTTTGTTTCTCCAAGTATCCTTCTACTTTCATGCTGTTCAGGAAGGTGGTAGAATTAGAAAGCACGCTGTTCTTCCAAATTTTAAGATGTTAATCAATTCCACCTTCCAGTACTGATGGTTTGTATGGTGTAATTTTTAAAAAAAGTTTGTTTTTTCATTATTTCTAGGTGTCTATGTGACAATGTTTATTAACTCACTTGAGCCTATTCCCGTGTATTTACGGGTATGCGCCCCCGGCCCGGTGGCCGAATCCCGCATATTTGGATGTGCGATATCTTTGTTGTTTTTTGGTTACCAACTACGGGATGCGGCAAGCCAACAGTTGACCCACTTGTTTCGTTTCATAAAAAATTTGGTGAAGTTATGTGCAACACTTTTTGAGCTATAATGGACTAAGTCTGTCACCTCCGCATTTCGATAGATGGTTTTATTTATTGATAAAATGTAAGGCAGCGTGGTGGAATCAGGCTCTCGTCAAAATAATTAAATTGAAGAAACTTGCATTTTTCCGCAGGTTTGTGAATTTTTATCAAATTTTTGTTTTTTGGCTCAACACCTTTCATGCCCATTAAAGAACTCCCTTCTGTGTGGATTTTTCTGAAAAAGGTTGATTAAAGGCCCAAAAAATGTAAGTTTTCAGTTACCATGGACTCTTCAAATATAAGGGAATAACTAGTCTTTAGCTGTCATTTTCTCAGTAATTTTACCTCTGAAAACAGGTGACCCCCACCTCTTTCATTTGCAAGTGTATTCAAGATAAATGGATATTTTTTCCATCCAAATAAAGACAAGTGAACACGCTTTAAGATGATACCAATAACTCTAAATGCCCAAAAATTGACGAGAGCCTGATTCCACCATGCTGCCTCACAAATTTAAACTATTCGGACAAATAAGATGCAATTTTTTTTCTGTGAGAGCATTTCTTTCTTTGTTTTGTTGCATGTTTTTCTTATGACAGCTTTCACAGTTTTTTTGTAGTTGGTTATTCAATATTACCCAAAACTGCCCGGCTGCAATGGATGTTGGGTGAAAAATAGCTCAGGCTCAAGTGAGTTAAATGTGGTCCCATGGATATATCTTTTTTTAACAACAAAAATGTTGTAGTTTCAAAGCAGGGTGCTATACCTGGGATACCATTAATAGTGTTCTCAATTTTTATTCCTTGTTATTTGTTATGTTTGTCTTTTCTATATGAATCAGTGAACTTATGTTTTTTTTTTTTGTCTTTTGTTTTTGATCTTTAATGTTCATAGTACAATCACAGAAAAGTATATAGGCTGCATGAAAGGAGATTAAAGTCCTAAGCTTTACTTTCTCAAATGTGTTAGGTTTAAAAGAGTCATGCCAAAGCAGATGAAAATCTAGATGGAGGGAAGTAGTTATATGTGGAATTTTGATTTTAAGTTTAAGGTGACATTCATCAAATATTTGTTACTTTTATTGCTTTTCAGCGGTGCATAGATCTTCTAATTCATCTTCCTTTTGGGAAATCAGACGATCAGGGACTCAATATCGAACAGAAAATGAAGATACATTTCGGCCAAGGCGACAGCCAATACAAACAGCGCCTACTGAGCATGGTCAGTCCAATTCTGTCAGATCCAGTAACATTTCCCGCCATGGTGATCATCAGAGAAACAACAGAAACTCTCCTCCAGCATACTCTGAGCTCACCACAGATGGCAACATGTTTAATGGTGAAGGTCCAACGGATAGCAATATTCACAGGACTGATGGAAATGATCAACATGACAGTATTGGAGGCTATAGGACAACGGCAAATAGACAGATAAATGTCCCAGGTCAAAGTTTTCCATCCCAGAATGACCAATATTATCAAGTCAACTTGCCTCCATCAGCCTCACAAGACCCTCACACCTTGTCTGGAGGAGACGCTGACAGTCAACTTCTTGATACTTTACAGGATGCGATGCCATTACCTTCGTATCAGGAAGTTATGCGAGACCCTGGAAAATATACCATTGAAAGCTCATTTTAGATAGGCCATGTCCCATGCATTTTTACTTGTCTGTCTGTGATGCATTAAAAAATTTTAATAGCAATTAAGAAAATGCTGGTTCCACATTTAACACCTTGCCCCCACGGGATGCCAATCGGCGTTGGTGTGATATAGTGTGTACTGCACCTGTATCCTGGTCCGGGGGGATAAGTGTTGCGCGCTCTGGCGCGCTGCTTGGGTGAAAAGTGTTAATGAATACAATCTATGCACATAACAAAATTGGAGGGATGCAGAAGTCCCTTTGTTACGTACGAATTTTGCTTTGTACATGTTTTTAAAATAATAAAAAGGATATTGCCTTGTGTAAGACTTCACCAAATGCCATTTTGAAATATATATATGACAGAGTCTTACCCTGAGTAGTCAATAAGAAAAAATTCAGGACCTGAAAATAGTGAAAATCTTTTCTCAATGTAGGCACTACATGTTTCACTATGAGTATTTACTGTGTGTGCGTGCCAGGCTGTAGTTTATGTTCTACAGCTTCAGGCATCTATACTTAATTATTGGCCTATGTTTCCTTCGTTCAGCCACTTCTTTTACAGCTCATAAAACAGTCCTGTGTACACCGCCATAGTTTCCTTAGAGTGAGGAAAATGTACCAGCCTTTTTATGTGCCTAGATATTATGGCAGGGAACTTGATGAATTGATGAAAGCTTTGTACCCGGTGATTTTATAAAAAATATTGAAGTGATTTATGGTATATACTTTTTCATTATAGTAATTCTCTCTGCTCTATATCCTTGTTCTGATTAACTCTTTCCAAACGTAGTTGTTTTGGGGTCTAGAAGTAATTAAATTGTGACTCTATTGGGCTACACAGGTGATGTACTACACAGGTGATGTACAAAATAACTTCATATAAGCATAACCATCACTCAAAACGTAACATATGACATATCAAGTTGAAGGAAATTGAATAAGGAATACATTCCAATACAAAACAAGGATTAATTTTGAACATAAGTATGCATTGCAAGGGTTAGAAATGGCGATGTGGTGAGAAAAATACATTTTGATGGAAAAAATTACACACACTAAACATGTGCAAGCGAATCAGCATAGCTATCTTATCATATAAGCCATGAGCAGATTCCTTATATTTCTGAATGTGCAGCTTTTTATTTGAATGCAATATTCCAATTTTTGTTTGAGTTATGATATTTATACTGAGTCTGGTTAGATCGTTTTGTTGATGCGAGACCTCAAGAACTAATTCACTCATTTTTCCACCGATATATCGGCGATACGTCCTGAAAGAGTTAACCAGATCATTGGTCTTGTAAAGCAACTGCGGGCGAGGATGGTGAAGTCATTGATGCTGCTATGGTTTTTGTCATTTTGCACTCTACTTATTTTACCTCTTTGACTATAACGGCTTTTGAAAGAAATGTCATTGTTCTTTTGTGAACTGAACATGCTAAAAAATTTTTTTAGGACCACTGGGGACAATTGGTCTGGCTTGGTCATCTATTTAAAATTTTGCCTTAATGTGAAGGTTGTAAAATATGTTGAGGTCTGGTCTCTTTCTCAAGCAAAACTAGTGTATCTGTTTAATGAATTGTGCAATAGTCATCACATTTCCGTCCGTGTCCCCATCTTGCCCGTCGCTGGATGGATGATGATGGTGGCAATTCTGTGTTTGGGCTTGAAATTGTACCATAAGTTTAAAGAGTTATTTAATTACTGAACTCTTTTTACTGTTGTCAGTCTGAACCTTACTTGAGGATCCTTATGCAAACATTGATGACATGAGTATGTCAGCAACTTCTTTTATAATTTCCTTTTTTGGCCTTTTCAAAGGTGAACCTGGAAACCTGTTTGCATTCCTTTAGCGGGAACTCGTCTACAGAGGCATTTGTCTTCCAGAACCTAAAGTCACTCTATAGCTGTGTTCTACTGTATATATATGCACATGTAGTTGTAGCCACCAAAAGATAACTTGTTTTAACTCTTTATCTCCGAGGAGGGGGGGAGGGGGGGGGTAAATCCACTACGCCGGGACCCTCTTTTGGTACGAATCTAAAAAGTGACATACAAGTCACTAAATTGGTTACTAAATCAAAACAATAGGTTTTGATAGTTCTTCATCTGATAAATGAATTCCCGGTAAAAGAGATCCACATTTTTAATTGCTGAAAACTAATTTGAAGTCTAAAGTGGTCATAAAGGAATGTGCCTGAGCTGCTGCTAGCAGCTCACAGGCGGTACAGTTTCAACGGTGAGCTCGCTTGCGGGAGATGAGGAGTTAGAAGCGGTTATATGCCATTGAAAATTTGATAAGTGACAGGTACTGGATGTCTTCTTGGGTTTGTCTGATTGCGGTGTGGGGTTTAAGCGTATGCTGCTCATCAAGTCTCTCTCCTAAGGTTGAAACATGCATTATGAGGTCGAGATAGAACTCTCTTAGCTTTTAATGTCAGTTGATTGAGCGGGTTTTTAATTATTATATTTTTTTTCATTTATTATCACAAATTGTCTCATTTAGGAGGTAGGCTGCTGTGTCCTTGCCAGTTAGGGTGAAACCAGGCTGTCTTGGATACATTATATATCCAGACAAATGGACAAATAAACTTGATAAAATGTTCTTCCTTTGTATAGACAAATTCAGATATTACCTATCTTCCTGTCGTCTGACTGTTAAAGAAGTTAAAAGTCAGCATGAGGCATGAGATATTAGTATTAGTTTGTAGCTGAAATAATAAGTTTGGGATCACTGCAAAATTGAACACAATTTGCAGGGATTTTTAATTGCTATTTGATACATGATGTCTTTGTTGAAATGTGAGAAACTAAGTTCAAAACCAAACTTACGATCTCTTTCCTACTAATAATGTGCCATTGCAAGTACGATAAATATGTGAATTATAGTTTTATTCTCTTTAAAGATTTACTTTTCAGATATATTTATGCATTGGTGAAAGAAAAGCTTATACAATGTATGCTTTAATCCTTTCCTGTTGGCAGTCGTCACCAGCAATAACCAACCATTTGTTCTGCTTCCTCATACTTACGAACCTCTTAGTGTTCACCTGCTTTTGCACCTAATAAATGTGAAAATGAAATCTGACTGCTAATGCCAGTTCTGACACACTTTCCTCGATAGAAAGTAATGTGAGACTGCAACTTAATGTGTGTGATCAATTTTTATTGTAGCCAAGCTTACCGTTGAAGAAATCTTGTGAGAAAAGCAACGTGGGTGTCTGGCTAGTTGTGGTGGGATTGAACTCCAGCGCCACAATATTACTGGCCGGTTTTGGACAGGTCAACTAGAGAAGGTTAAAGGATGGTTACATTGGTATTTTCTCAGGGCAGAGCTTGCGGATGAGATTTGAAGATATCACTTGATAGACTTGCTCATTTCCTCACCCCTCCGTTCTTTTTTGTCTGGCACTTTTCTACATTTACCCAAGCTCGAAATGGTTGTTATTTACATGATGGATGCCATTTGTATTCTTATTCTTATGAAGCTTGCAGAATTGGCTCATCAGTGCAAAATGCACCTGTGTTGTAATTTATGATGACGTGAGGGCAGTACATGTAGGTGTATCTTAAGATCTGAAGTAGCTGTTTCAAAATTATAATTGTTTTAACCACTTCTCTTTATGTGTTCACGAGTTGTCATTTTTTTTTGTCGTCACCCTTTATTTTATTACTTATACCTTTATTGTCTTCTGTTGGTAATAGCAGTAACGCCAAGTGCTGTCCATCCATGAGTCTGAGCAAAGTTGTCTCAGTTATATTTCTTTTCAGTACTGACAAATGTCTCTTCAGAAACTTATTCTGAATTCTTTGTTTACTTAAACCATCTTGCCGTTCTTTTTTGTGCCTAAGTGCTTTTCAATACCTGACATGAAGCTGTTACAGTTTTTGAGCTTTTATGAACAGCTTATGTTAAACATAGAACATTTATTTTACAATGGACAAATATGCACAACGTATTTCTTTTTTTAGGGTCTAATCTAGTAGTATTATTTAAATGAAATGTAATGTGTTGGGTTTTTAAATGGTCATTTTATATTTATAATTTGTTCTTTTATAAGATAAGATAAGATAGGATAATTTAATACTTTATTATCCCAGAAGGAAATTTTTCTTCGTGGTACATGACCATAAAAACACATGCAGGTATACATAAAAATAAAAGTTTAAATGATATACATGCATTATTTTAATTAAAATTCAATATAAAAAGAAAATTGAAGCTGACAAAATGTTTGTATCACATCAGATGCATCTTTCAACCACATGCAGGAATTTAGTTACAAGATCTTTAAAGTTATATAAGATACATACCCGAAAGAGCAATCCCGGTTGATGCTTATTCTGACAATATCCTTTATGCAAGATGGTAATTTATATTTTTATTTCTTTAATTTTAGAGGTACATATCTGCCGCTGCGTGTTCTTACAATTTGCGTGGAAAGGGGGTGTGATGGGTCATTTACAATATGTCTTTGGCTAATTGGCTTAAACTGTTCATGTCGATTGTGTTTTTTAAAAACTTTTTTTCTTCTTCTTCTCTCTTAAATGATAATAAACATTCTGGAAACTCACAGAAGGAAAGACAGAGTTTGTGTGTTAGATGTCAACAGTTCTAGAACTTTTATAGCTCCACAAGAACTCCACAAGAGCTGCTGTTTACTGTAAAACAATTCTATCTATGCTGGCTGTAGGTAGAGTTAATATTGGATTTCCTCTCTAATCCAGCTTACTTCTTATCGTAGTCCTTGTTACCTGTATTGCAATATTATTTTAAAATTATTCTACATTTTTTAGTTCAGCTCACATCATCCTTTTTTGTTGATCAGCAACGCATATTTTGATATTTAAGTCCCTGATATTATAAAGTTGGTGTGAATGCAGAGAAGAAGAAGAGATGTATAGTCTTTTAAGTTGATTTTGGGATGTGTGTGCATATGTTTTTGTTTGTGTAAATACATATGTGGATGTTCTTGTGTACACATTTACATATTTATTTCTATATCAAGACCCCAGTGCTTTCTTGTTGTATCTCCATTTTTAGTAGCAGTGAAAACAGTTCATAACAAAGAATGAGCTGCAGAAGATGTCACATTTTCACTGTTGAAAAACGTGGAAATACGATAAGAAAGCACTGAGGTTGCGATATATGTTTGCATGTGTTTGTGAATATGTCTGGGTGTGAGAAAATACAAGGAAGGGAAGACACGGCGTAGAGGCCACTAAGCATCTAAGGGATGGGCCTTCGGCTGAATTCGTCTGGGCGTTAAGCGTGCTCGGCTAACCACAGGGCCTTGGGCTAGGCTGTGCTAAAAACTGCTGTGCTCTGTATTTGTTTTATGTTTTTACGGAACGATGGAACTTGATGTGGTTAATATCTGATTTAATTCATTTGATGTGATATTATTATTGATGGTTTGTGTAAGTGGAATTTTGACTCTAGAATCTAGATAGATCTAGATCAATCATCTTGTCCTTTTCACTAAGCTTAATAATCTCATGAATTGGTTTCTCCATTGACATTCAGTTTGATGATGATATTGTGTTTTTTCATCCGTGATTTATTCAATCAGTGACACTTTTATTTTTCCTGTTCATGAAGATCTTTTTTTGATTTGTTCAGCCAGTGACACTTCCATTCATAGTCATGGAGATGGAAACTGAGACATAGGTACCAGTACCAAAGCCTAAGAGTAAGAGCAAGAGTCAAAGGCAAAGACACCCTGTGCAACATTGCTCAGGAGTGAATTGTAAAAATAATAGATATGACAACTCTAATTTGTCATTTTTAAAGTTATAAACAACAGAGTTCCTTATCTCGTAATGCTTGTATTTTAGGGGGACAGCTAAGAGATGTAGATAATATCTAGAATCTAGATCTACCTCGTTCCTCAAAGTGCTTATTTATTCCTTTATCTATATTATATCTTTGTTTAACTTTGTTTTTATGAGCACGCTCTAGGTGTAGAATCTAGATATCTATTTACAAATACGGTATTTGTTTATTTAGGAATGGTAAAAAGCACGTTGATCAGCAGATCATTGATGCATAATTATAATAGGCGAATACTGGGTTCGCTGGCTGGCGTGCCTCGCGTAATGGGCAGATGACTTCGCGAACTGACTCGGCCCGCGAACAAGGGAATAGAGAGGCTACGCTTCGTCTTATCTTCCTAGTTTTTGGTGTGCGTGCGTGTATGTGTGTGAGTGCTTGTTTGTATTAGTGTGTGTCTGTATGTTTTCCTTAGATAATCCCAACTTTTTACCTGAAAAGCAGGGCTTCAATGTCGCCCTGCATCTTATCTAAGAGATATGAAATAAGATTTCTGACCAAAATTTGTGTGATTTGTATGCCAGGAACGATACTATTGAGATGAATGATGATGAGATCAGAGACTTTTTTGATGATGGCAATGAGGAGTTTTGACGATTTTAGTAAAATAACCTTGATTTGTTTGTTTTGAAGTTATTAGATATTTAAAATCCACAAAAAAAGTGATGATGTTAGCCGTGAAAAAGTTGGCAGGTCATATCCAATGAACATATTCACGGGTCTAAAGGAAAACTATTCTAAGGGACATTTCGGCCGAAATGGAGATTTTTCAATGGCCTTAACTTCCACCGAGGGATGCAACTTGTGTTAAAACATCAGAGCCGTAGTTTAAAAAGTGACTGAGTTACAGCCAAAGAAAAATTACATGTATTCTTTCTCCTACTTGAGAAAACTTTTTGAGAAAAATATTATTACCATTGTCTGTAGCAGTTAAAGTACTTTTCACGGTGGTAGAACATGAAAAAAACTATTGTAAGTGCATAAGTTAGAAGACTTTTCTCCTCAATTGGCTCCGCCAAAACAAATAAAACTATTCTAAGCACTGCTGTAGAAAAGTTTTCCTCACACTTTGTTCAGAAAAAAGTATTGTGAGTGACACTTTGTTTGATTTAACAAGAATGGAAGAAATTTTTTAGAAAATGATTTACAAAATAAGCCCATGTTTGTTTTTTCCTACACTACATGTGAGTTTTTGATCCAAGAATTTGCAAATCGTTCTGTTGAAATCAGAATTTTTTTTCCTCCTGTAAAATTGGCTAAATATCGCTTAGACTTAGAGAATAGTTTTCTTCTAGACCCGCGTTGTATGGTTCATACTTAAATTTTGGGCTCTTGCGTCTTATCCACACTTGCATCCTGTATGCAGTGGCGGTGGGTCGACCTTAATTTGGGTGGGGCTTAATTAGGTTGCTTTCACTTCTTTACCACCAAATAGCAGACAATAATAACAAAACAGTGGGGATTTTTCCATACTCAGGGTGAGCCACGGCATTTTGAGAACTATTCAAACGAGAAAAGTCACCGTTGGCTTCCTTCTCTTTGTTCTACGTTAATTTCTTCTGGATGCTGGGGACGAAAACGTTTCACCTCCTAACTTCTCTAATTAGTTTTCATCTAATGAAAAAGTTGCCTCAAAAGTTATTTGATGTAATTAATGAGTGTTAAATCTCAGCGGCACACACACACACACATGCATACACAGCACTTCGCGAGCTGGATTAGGCCGTGTAGTCGAGGAAAGTAGACAGCACCTAACAAAGGTCTAATGGGAGCTTAAGTAACTGTATCGCTGGGGGAATGTGTGTCGTAAACTTCCACCCCATTGCCAGGGCTAGGACAGCGTGAGCCCTCTGTGCAGTGTTATTTTTTTCTGTATTTTTTTCAAGTCTTCTACCTTTTTACAAGAAGAGTTTCATTAACAAGGGTCCGTGGGAACGGGCCACAGAATTCTACACTTATAGAACGGGAACTGTACCACGTGACCTGTGAGGAATTGAAGACCGAAAACTATGG